TTCATTAGGACCTCAGAAATGAAATGTAATAGGAAACTGTAAGATTAGTTTCACAAATAGCTTCTTCAGTGTCCTCTGTGTAACCTATAATCCATTACAAGTATGTCTTAACCTGAAGCTACCTAATTACCTTCCTGAAAACCTACAGCCAAACATTCCAAGGAAAACCTGCTGGTACAAATTGGGTAATATTAATCAAAACATTTACTGGATATGTATAAAACATTGATTAGTACGCAAATTAAAATCACTTGCTGCCTAGAAGATATCAGTTACAAATGGTAAATATTATTGAAATGGCTAATTATTGTTTCATTGCCATGTGAAATTTGAGTAATAACAAGCTCGTTCAAGTAGATAATTGAACAAAATCAGGGACATGATCCGTGACACTGGTGATATTTACGACGTTTAGACACACAATATGAAATCATTAGTTGTATATAACCTTTCCTTCACTCAAGGTGCGAATGCAAGTTTTTTACCTGCAGTACGCGAGTTGCATATCGATGTCATTTCACCTCAGTACCTGGAGAGATTTTGCGTATTGCTCCTCAAATAACCCAATTATCCCTACTTAAAATATCTGTGATAATCTCCTGGAATGTTACGGTCATTTGTCTAGCACCTTCTTCAAACACTCAGTTCCTAATTTCCCTGCAATTGCTGTGGCGCTGTTGCATGTTAGGAAAAAGTTTTCGATTTTGTGTTTTTGAAGCTTGAAACTGAAACCAACTTTGCACTTACACGAAAGAAAACTTGTTTTTCTTTGCGATAAGATTTCTGATGTTTATTTACTAATTACGACACCCTGTAAGTGATAGAGGTGTGATAGCCTAGTTTAGGAGTGTTTATCTTGGAATCATAGTGCACGTAATGATATAGTCACAACGCAGGAATAGATCATCAATGTGTAATTCACTCCGATTTCTCTTCCATAGCAACATGCGTGAAAGATTCATGTACAATTGCAAGCTCTGACGTTCTTTCCATCCAATGTTTAAAATATTTTGCTAATTCTTAGAGTGAGTGAGTGAGTGAGTGAGTGTGGTTACACGCTGCTTTTAGCAATATTCCAGCAATGTCATGGCGGGGGGGGCATCAGGAATGAGCTCCACACATTGTATTCATGCGGGGAATCGAACCTGGGTCTTTGGCATGACAAGCAAGCACTTAACCACTAGGCTACCCCACCAATATATAGATAATTTAATTAAGTACATACCAGTACAGAACATAAATAGTTATTAGAAATCTATTGTTTTTCATAAATGCCATCATGAGAAATACTGTTTTGAACTAGAATGTGATTATGGGAAATACATAGTTGAACATGTCATTTTACAAAATAGCATATTTAACCTTAAATACAGTATTGGACTAACATGTCACTATGAGCATTCTACCATAAATTCTTAAAAATCCAGTCAATCAGACGTTTCAGCAGTAACCACCTCTCACTAAAACAGCTAATTTGACAGCTATTTCAGCATAGGAGCAGATATTTATAGAAAAAAACTTCCTTTCAACCTGTGTCATTTTTATATAAAGACACGTACCCACCCAGGTTATAAACTACAGAGTTTCAGTCTCCACAATATTCAAAGTATGTGAAGCAATACAATCATGTTGAGTGTTGTAAAAGATACATGATAGAACTGACTGAGTGAGTATTTCAAGTTTTAGGGACAACGGTGAGCTTGAAATTTGGAGACTTTCTGTTTTGGTCTGTGACGTCGTCTTTCACATCAAAAAGGCAGTGTGACATGTGGTATTGAACATGTGGTATGAGTGAGTGAGTGGACTGAGTGAGTGAGTGAGTGAGTGAGTGAGTGAGTGAGTGAGTGAGGAGTGAGTGAGTGAGTGAGTGATGAGTGAGTGAGTGAGTGAGTTTTAGTTTTACGCTGCTTTTAGCAACATTCCAGCAATATCATAGCAGGGACACCAGAAGTGGGCTTCACACATTATACCCATGTGTGGCATCGAACCTGGGTCTTCAGCGTGATGAGCGAAGACTTTATCCAACAGGCTAGTTCACCTCTTGGGTATTGAACTAAACCTGTCAAGGTTTGCATCCTCCTCTCATGGGGTGTCCAAATTCTTTTGCTTAAAAGGTAGCTAAACTACACATTTTCAATGCCCAGAAGTAAAAAATAATTTATTGGCAATGTTTCAGCTCATACAGAGCCACACTACATATAGTATTGGTCGACAGATCAACAACCTACGACACTAACACTGGTCTAATCCAATGCCGCTTCACTCAAATTCACTGCTGACATCAAAGAGTTCGCGTTTAATTTTGTCATGGTAGAGCGGAGATAAACAAAATGTGTTTTCAATGTAGAGCGAGATTACCTGTACGTATATCTGCAGTGAATGTCACATCTAAAAGCTCATGCTGTGGGCTTCCTTCAATTCAGCACAGTTAAATCTATAGGTTACCAAGCTCTAAATTGAAAAACACCCAATGTTTATTTCCTGATGTAACATAAATGTTCTATTTTTATGCTCAATATATACCAATATTCTGATTGAAATATTGACTTATTTATTACCATTTCTTTTTCCATTTTTATGATTAAAATAGATATGAAAGCAATGCCACATACATAGCTATGTGTGAAGCCCATTTCTGGTGTCCCCCGCCGTGATGTTGCTGGAATATTGCTAAAAGCGGCGTAAAACGAAAACTCAGTCAGTCAGTCAGACATGCATAGCTATGTGCTATGCAGAAGCTCTTGCCTTTGGTGTTTGACAACCTTTAGGTACAATCAGGCACACACTTTCTACAAAGATTGCAAACAGGGAATAACTGCTTGCTTCCTCTGAAGTTGTGCGATCATTTCTGCAATATTCAAGGCCTTGGTAAAGCTGTGAAGCCTTCAGAATGTTTTATTATGAACTAGTGGCAAACATTTTGAAACTTGATGTGTCAGAGACTAAAACGATGTCTGATGCAATTCCCCATTTTGAATTGTATCATATACATACATACATACATACAAATACTTGTATAGCGCCAATATCCGTAATCCGCTCAAAGGCACTCTGGCTCTAAGATGGTCAAGATATCACATATAGTTCAAATGCTTCACCAAAGGGACAGGTCTTCAGATTTGATTTAAAAACAGCTAAATCTGGTTGTGTTCTGAGGTGAGATGGAAGATTGTTCCAGAGATGAGGGCCAGCCGTCTCAAGTGACCTGTCACCATATGTTTTTGTCCTAGTCACAGGAATTGTCAAAAGACACTGGTCATTTGATCGGAGAGAACGTACAGCAGTATAACGGTGGAACAGATCACAGAGGTACTGAGGAGCTAGACCATGTAAACTTTTAAAAACAAGGAGTAGAGTTTTATATTTTATGCGGTAGTGGACGGGAAGCCAATGAAGTGAGTGAAGAACAGGAGTAATGTGGTCCGATTTCTTTGACAGAGAGACCACTCTGGCTGCAGTATTCTGCACCTCCTGAAGCTTGTGTATAAGATTGTTCATTGATCATATGTTCCATGGGGCAGGATAGGCTAACCTTTCGTGATTCAGACACTCATATTCATGTCATGTGTCGGAGACTAAAACGATGTCTGATGCAATTCCCCATTTTGAATTGTACCATATGTTCCATGGGGCAGGATAGGCTAACCTTTCGTGATTCAGATACTCATGTAATGTGTCAGAGACTAAAACGATGTCTGATGCAATTCCCCATTTTGAATTATACCGTATGTTCCATGGGGCAGGATAGGCTAACCTTTCGTGATTCAGACACTCATACTCATGTCATGTGTCGGAAAGGTACAATGGACAATTGTGTTTTTTAATTGTTGAACATATTTAGCTATATTTCATTGATATATTTATGTGTTTAATCTAGAATGAAAGGTATGTACCATGAGGTCTCCCTATGAGCATTGTTACCGTGTTGATAGACCAAGGATCACAAAGAAGGCACATTGTAACTTCAAACCCATGAACAACAGATCCTGCTAGAGCAAAATGGCACAACTCTGTTACAGGGGGGACAGGGGGAACAACCCTTCTAATTGTTTTTAAGTGTCTACTAAAGTATCTTCTCTAATAGAACCCCTTTAACTGTCTTGTATATTCACTCCAATAAAAGAACCCTTTTACTTGTCACATATATTTACTCTAACAGAAGAACCCTGTTAACTGTCATGTATATTCACTCTAATAGAAGAACCCTGTTAACTGTCATGTATATTCAGTCTAACAGAAGAACCCCTTTAAATGTCATGTATATTCACTCTAACAGAAGAACCCCGTTAACTGTCATGTATATTCACTCTAACAGAAGAACCCCGTTAACTGTCATGTATATTCACTCTAACAGAAGAACCCCGTTAACTGTCATGTATATTCAGTCTAACAGAAGAACCCCTTTAAATGTCATGTATATTCACTCTAACAGAAGAACCCCGTTAACTGTCATGTATATTCACTCTAACAGAAGAACCCCGTTAACTGTCATGTATATTCAGTCTAACAGAAGAACCCCTTTAACTGTCATGTATATTCACTCTAAAAGAAGAACCCCTTTAACTCTCTTGTATATTCACTCCAATAAACAACCCCTTTAACTGTCATGTATATTCGGGTAGAAGACCCTTTTAAGTGTCATGCATATTTAATCTGTTGAAGACCCCCCCACCCCCACCCAATCCAACTGTTACCGGTACATATATTCACTGTGAAAGAAGACCCTTCTAAGTTCACTGTTGAAGAGCCCCTCTAACTCAGGAAGGAGGTGGGGTAGCCTAGTGGTTAAAAAAAGTGTTTGCTCGTCACGCTAAAGACCCGACTTTGATTCCCCACATGGGTACAATGTGTGAAGCCCATTTCAGGTGTCCCCAGCCGTGATATTGTGTGAACATTGCTTAAAGCGCCGTAAAACCATACTCACTCGGACTCAGAAAAAGAACCCCTTTGACTGCTATGCGTACTCACTTCTAAACAGGTGAAGAAAAACAGATACAGAGTTGTACTGATATTTGTGGTTTATTCATATGAGAAAATAAATACATATACAGCTCTGATAACCACATGCCAGGGACCTGTGATACGCACACAGCATTCTGCATTCAGACGGCAGCGACAGACAGCACGCAGGTGAGGTAGTCGCAGGTGCCTCCATAGTAGTTCCCATCACCGTCCAGCATGTGGCTTCCCATTGTTTCTGTATTTACAGGCAATAGACTCTGGGAATGTGGCAGTCCTAATACTTAATTCAAGTCGCTGAAACACTGTTCGTCAGTGTCATATTTTATGTAGTTCACTTACAGTTACAAAATTTGAAGTACAGAAACAAAACTAGTGTTTCACACACATTCCAACAAATTTTCGATTTAGGTGGTTCAGGTAAATTTGGTGGGTTTTGATGTAAAAAGTTGTCATTTAAGTTCTTATGTTTGTCAGCTCTAATCAGACCTGGGACTCGTTCAATAGAGTGATCTTAGTACTAAGATTATTATAACTCCCACTCTTCAACACAGGCTTAGAAAAGGCTTAGTGCTAAGAGGCTTTGGGGAATGGGACCCAAGCTATTTTCTGTACTTATTTAATTGGATAGGAATGTCCTAAATTTTTTAAATATACAAATTAATAATCTTAATTTCATTATGACTGAATATGCCTAATCTGAATTTTGTATTTGTAGTTTGCATTCTAACAAAATACAATAACCTCAGCCAATCTCTTAGCACTTTGACCAAACTCCTATGAAAACATAATGGTCTGGCATTTTCAAATAGCTATTTTCTGTATTGTCCCTGTCATAGTTTTAAGTTTGATGTGATCAAGATACACACATTTTAATTCAGTTAAAATGGAGTGTCTCATCTAAATAGAATGTGCAATTCAGGTAGTTGCCAGACACATGCCTGCATGTGCTCGTTAATGATGCATCAGCAATGGCACCATTCTTAGGCACCAGGGAGGAAAAAACATCAAGCAACGCTGGGACGGTGAAGGAACTGGAGGCAGTACCTGCTAAAAGACATACCCAGACATATATGTTCAAGTTTCTGGGACAAAGACCTAATAATTTGGTGGTCACCAACAGCGATTCGGCTCTTCAAGTGTAAATTTCATATATTCTACACCAATGGTGTTTGAGTTCTTCAAGTATAAAATTTATATATACTACTCCATTTTTATAGTGATATTTCTATCGTTCCATGATACAAAAACTGATTTTCAGAAAATGTCCACAGTATTTTGAAAAGACATATCTGTTTTCCCTATTAATATATACAGAATCCTATTCACACCATTGTAATGAGAAGAGTTAAAGAAAAGGGTATCAGATTGTACCCAGCTGATCATTTGATTCTCTGAATATCTTATTCCTTTTCCACAAGTTTCCTCTTTCAACTATCTTGCTGTTAGTGACCATCTTGACATATCTTATTTTTATATCAAATCTAAAAACAAGAATGTTTTTCATTGCACTATTGATATTACACTAATCAATAATTTGGTTGAGTCATACAGATCTGAAAACCTGGCTGAAATATGTTTTGTCTGACATACGTTTTTTAATTTTTGTGTTATACCATTTTATTTCTGCCAGAACATTTCAGCAAGGTTTTAAGACTGATAAAAAGACTAGATTGTGTATAAATCTGTACAATTTGCGTATATCCCTGTCTAACTTACATAGCAAATGTAAAAAGACAATTTGAATGACAACATATATTCTCAGACAACATCATAAGCAAATGCTTTTGTTCATCAACAATTCTTTTGTCGTTCATTCATCGATATGATCATGTACAATTTCTCATATGTCCAAATATATTACAAAATGTACAGCATGAGACAGATGTAAGAACATATATTCCTTGTAATCATGTGCATCTCTGGTACAAACATCAGAAATACAAGCTCTTGATTCAGTATCAACATTGTAGGTATTTGTTCCAACAAAACATTAATGACAGGAGCAGTTTGATATGGAATATTTCACCCCAGGAGTTGGTGAATAACTTGGGTAGAATACCATATTGATCAGTATTCCGGTTATATCATGCTATTACAACTGAGTGTGGGAAGAAAGCCCTGATACAGGTGTCAGAGGTTTACCTTTTTGGTGAAACCCATGAGCAGGGACATGGAGCTGATAAATTAGCAATATAATGTGGTGAATTCATGATTAAAATAATAACTAATAATTAAAACATACTGACAATGTTTCCTCAACACAATAATAACTTACTCTTCATTGGTCTGTACTCTCAAAACTTTTATCAACCCTTGGAAGACCTTAGTAGTTTACCATATAATGACTCAGTATTATTTGTGAAAATGTCACCAATAGAATATTTTATTACTTTCTATTAAAAAGGGATAAGTGCTTCATAATAATTTTATACTGTCTATTCAAAATGGGATAAGTGCTTTATCATAATTTTATACTCTATTAAAAGAAAGGATAAGTGCTTTATCATAATTTGTATACTCTATAAAATAGGATAAGTGCTTTATCTGTCGATAATATGAGTAACTACTTGAGACTCATATTGTCTCTGATATTGTGTCATTCTACACACCCAATAATGTTAGAATAACTCAGTTATACAGCGATCTCAATGGAGAAACAGAAGTTCCTTCAGGACATCCTTTGACATGTCATGATCTAAGCGCCAAGTTTTCCAAAGTGTACAAAAGGTCAACTTAATTTGTCACTGTTTTCCTAATTGGACACTAACTCATGACAAACGACTTAAAACACATTCCTAAACTTGAATTCCAAATGACATTGAAAGATAAGCCTTTCTCATTTCACTCTAAAATGCCAATCACTTCTTTTGAAGATTTTCGTACACAAAGTGCAACTAATTTGGACATGTTAGAAATTACCATATTAGGCACGGCACCAACAGCTGGGACCCACAAATAAGAAGTTGACACTGTTGAAATCACTGACCCTTAGAAGATGAGCTGACCACAATAGCAGTAAACATAAAGATGCTATCATGGCTACCTTAGGCTAGTAAGTCACATGTTCACCCCTCGCTTTTAACCCTAGATATTTGGTCAATGCTCAAACTTCATGCTCCTTGCAAACAAATCTCATTAAATTTGTCAAGATTTAATCTAATGTTTGTGTGGGATGGATTTATTTCTGTAAGTGTGGATTCCACTCTGACACTGCCATTACAGCCTTGTATATGCCTACTAAATCTTAGTCCAAGCATTATCACAGAATACATAATGGCTGGTAAAATCCATAAAGGGTCTTTGCTGTTTCTATTGGAAAATTTGGACAAAGGATTGGAAAAGTTTAGGAATATTACATTACTGTATTGTCTAATAACTCCAACCAGTGCACAATTTAATCAAAAGTGAATCCCCAAAGAAATCAAACTCCAGAGGCAGTTTAAGATTCTCTGATGTGAGACGCTTTAATCGGCCACAAAATCATTAAATTTCATCACATTTATCGCCACTTTCCAGTGAACAAATTCAATAATGGTCACTTCAGTGTTTGACTGAGCAAACAAAAGATTGCCTTAGTGGACTTTGCTTCCATTGTGGTCAAGAACAACTATAACAGATGACGATCGGAGTGTCCATCCCATTGTCCAAACTTAATGTCCGGTCTGACAGAAGCCATTAAACAATAAACATTTATGAAGATTTGATCAAAGGACCTCCAATCTTGCCCACTCCAGTGACCCATCTGACCTTGAAATGTGATAAAATTTATTCAATTTACAAAGTTTCAAACAACTGACAAATGTCGCAGTGGGGTACTCTCAATCAAGATTTGTATCTTATACTGTCATAATTATTCAAATTTACCCATTGTTGCCCCAATAATGTGTCTAAATGTCAGATGTTTATCTGACAATATTGCCTCATTTTTAATCAAATATGACACAAATGTTGATAATTCTGCAGTCATTTCCAATTTTATTAAGTCAATAAATAATTTAAGATAAACATACAAACAGAATATAATTGGTACGATTTGGGTTTCAAAATAAACACATTCCCCAAATGAGGAAATGAACTATAGCTGTGTTGAGGAAACTTGTCAACACTTACTGCAGATGAAGATGAAAACTCTCCTAAAGTCCCAGAGTTTGTTCAATGGAAATTGTATCCAATTTCTAACCAGAAATTATCTCCACATAAGCAGTAATACAGACATCCAAATAAATCTTGGCGAGACATTTCGTGAGACTTTTAGTGGAAGCCTGTCAACAATTAATCACCAGTTTCTGAAGTATCGGAAGATATAGCACTATTACTTCAGCTTGCACTGTTATCAAAACAACTCCAGTTTTAGTGCCAGGGATATGATCTCAGGAAAAAACAACTTTTGCATGATATTGAATCAATGTCTGAAAAAAACGTAGTCCCTTGTATCATGGGAGACTGAGTGCATCTCCTAAGAGATTATTCTGCAAGGAATATAAAAAAGTCTGACCCTAAAGGTCGCAATATAGCACCACTTTGTCATCTGCTGTAGACTTTTTTTTCACTTATTTTGGAAGGTAAAAGCCCATCAGCTTAAGTTAATTCCATTTGCTGATTGTGAAAATATAAGCTACAGTGAAACCCTGTTAATCTGGACAGTACCATTCTGAAAGAAATCATTGGATTAACAAGTTTCCAGATTAATCCATCACAGATATACCAGTGTCCTCATAATTATAAAACATTCCAGATATTCAGAAAAGCAGGATTTCCAGATTAAGCAGGTTTCCAGGTTAACAAGGTTTCATTGTATTTGGAACAGATACGACTGCTCACACCTAAACTGGTCCAACAAAAGCAACAGAAAAGTAGCTCTGTACTACAAATAATGTGTGAATCATACATAGGTCTAGCTTTGCTGCTAAACACAATCCAACTACCTTTGCATAGAGCATTGCGGTGTCGTTACAGTAGTAGAAAACATGATCTGTTCATTGTCTGTGTGAAATATCAGGATACATGTTTCTGTTCATCAAGAACAAATGTCTTGCAGTAGTTTGTCAAATATTGGCACAAGTAATACTTCATGTTTCCGCTAAGGCTGTTCATCTTCGGAGGAAGGTCTGTTAACACAAAGATTTGGAGTGGCTAATGACGCCAGTCTTGTTCTGTAATAGTAGGCATCTTTGGCTTTCACAGGCTTTCACAGGGCATCCATGGACAGTTGGATACTCTTTGGTATCCTTGGCAACCAGACACACAGACAGACAGACAGACGGAATGTCATAACATCCATAAGAATCAATGTAATTCTGAAGTTACACAACAATATCCTGTTCTGTGTAGAAAACCTCATCCATATCATGACGCAGCTCATCAGGATTAATTGTATAGCTTCCGGATGTTGTCGTTCTGTCATCATCATCGCGGTAACTCATGGAATCCGCCCGCCAACTCCCACTTGAATAAAAGTCTGTTTGTCTGGGAGGGTAAGATGAAAGATCCATACGATGGTAACCGTCGTTTTGCAAATTATGGGGTGTGGAATCTTTGGCTATATTATGGGATGGAAAATGTTCAAAATGGCACGGGCTGGCCGTGTAGCTTTGAGGGAGGTCATGTGACCTTCCATAATCCATCGATTCCTCCCTAATGCGTTTACCTGTTCCACTGGGCATTGGTGACACAACATGACCACGTGATCCATTTCTGCGAGATGACCGGGACAACTCGGACATGCGGCCATCGTTAAATCGTGTGAAACGATCGGCTCCAATGAAGTGAGCTGGATGAAGAATACGAGGATCATCTGAAGAAACCAAGATTATAAATTAGAATGGAAAAACTGAACCATTAAACAAAATCTATGACAGAAAATTGGAAAGCACAAGTTCACCATTCAAATAAATCATGTTGTTTTACAGATTTCTGTTCATTATCATCCCCTAACCCTTTTGGAAGAAAATACTGAATTAATGCAATATTTTCCCTCATATAATAGTTATTACATACAATTTATCAACTATTAGTGTAAATCAAATTTTGAAAAATACTGTTAGCTTTGTAACTATATAAATTATCAAACAAAGATTTATTTTGTTTTTATTAATGTTCAATAACCACAAACAATAACACTCGCAGGCAACAACAAACACAAGAGAACACCATGCAAACTCATGATGTTGTTATCAATGACATCGATTATGATTGATAGGTACTGACAGGTGCTTGATGAATGAATGAGTGAGTGAGGGGACTGCATGAACAATATATACTAATATCAACCAAATCAAAATTTGCCAATGCTGGATATTGACAACACTCAAGCGCAGGCATGTTTTAATCAACATCACTGATTAATTTAGATTAATTATGATGTAATCTAAATAAAACTTAATTACCAATCAAATGTTATCAGGAACTGGAAAAAATATGAAACATATCCAGCCATTTGTTTTGGTAACCTCAACGACAAACAGCTGATTCAAAACAAACAGGCAATTCATCACAACAAACACCTTGGACAGCTTCTAATCAAAGTTGCGAACTATTCACTATTAAACCAAATCTTGAATCCTTGTTATTAACCAGTTGTTTGCCCGATATTTACAGGGTGCCATGAAATAGCTGTCATAATGCTAATTGTGGCGATAAAAGATGTTCGCTCAAAATGCTACACACATGATCGAACTGTTGGACGAAATAAATGGGAATCTGCGGAACTATGCACAATGTGAGTATCAACATGCAATAAGCCTAACTTACCATGCTAATGGCAGCAGCCCACTTGTCAAGGGCTATACATACCACTGCTTTATTACCATCGGTTTTGATGGGGCAGATTCCGCCGTATTTTTGGCTAGATGTACAAAATATTCTACAATTACTTTCGCAAAGTACATCTCATTCTAAATGTAACAATAATCTTTTGGGAATTTAGACAATAATAAAATTGAATCATGCCCTATAAATTTACAAGTAAATAGTTTAGTTTTCATCAGTTTGAGAAAAACACCCAACCAGAAACTTTTACTTAATTTGATTGTTTCATGTTTTTTATTGATATTAATTCAAGCTGCTCATGTTAAAACAGTTTTCATTCAGTAAGTAATCATGTTTAACCCTTTCTGATACATTATTCTATATTTTGAGAATATGGTCAAATAGAAACTTTCTTTACGTTTTAATCAACTTCAGTGGTTCATAAAGGAACTAAGTGAATTATGAGTCACTTGTGATTAATGCTAGCTTGACATTGCAAATCTACCCCCATAAATTCTACTACTCAAATATGACCAGACATAAACCCCAAATCAATTGTGGTTTCATCTACAGCTGACAGGCTCCTAGACCCAAGCAATCAGTTTTAAATGCTATCCAAACAATATTCAGAAAATTTGTCATGGAAAATGCCTCACAGTCTTTACTTAATGGATCCCATTTATAAATATAACACAATCTTCATCAAAACGAGGGATACGTCAGTGAACACAAACAGATACATCAATGAACTTACAACTTAACTGAATTTAGAAATTTGACAGATACTTGAATGTATTACTCAAATTTTAATTACATTAATGGAACAACAATCATCCTTCCAGACATCACATACCATATATCCAGATAATATAAGTCAAGTTTTCGCTACATACCAAGCAGTCTTTCGACTCCAAGTTCAGATAAAGTAACACTAGTGTACTAGACAGTCAATGACGAAACATTTAATCATCAATTTCTTAGTCTTATTAGAGAATAATGAAGTACGTCTGGAGTTTTCCAAGCAAGAAAACAAGCGAAATTGGTCTCCATTACTTCCGAATATTAACAAAATCCACAAGCCAAGGTAAACCGTCCAATTTCCTTAACCACTCGGGTCAAATGCAAATTCTGTATATCTACAAGTGCAAGCAGCGTAAATTTCAATAGAAGCGACGGCCTTCATTACACTCTGTCAGTCTGACTGAGGAGCCCAGAGTTAGTCTTCACTGTCCAGTGTTTCCCTGCAAACCCTTATTCTATTAGAGCACAAACGGATCCAGACTAATAAATCTATGCCAAAGTCCCTCTCTTCAACAATCTTTACTTACTGCCCTACCTGTTTGTCTAAAGCACCTTTCATAACATTCTTTCAGTCATTGATTACATCTTTGTAAACGGATTGTCCTTTGAGTCTTATGCAAATGCATGTCTGATGTACAGATCCAGTAAAAAAAAAAAGTGCCACTCTGTCTGTGATAAATGGTAGGTAGAGTTCACAAGAAACAAAAACTTTTCTCAACAACAAAAAGTGTGGTTTAAACAAATCCTGACATTTTCTAGTCAGGTGAAAACAATTTATGTCCATCTAACTGATCATTTAAATTACCTGAGTGAAAGGAGTAGTTGATTAAAAGTCATCTAACACAATAGGATGATGTTTCACCTTGGGTCCCTTTTCACAAAATGAAAGTCTGATACTTTACCTAAGTCTGATACTTTAAATAATGGTGGTATTAGCACTACAAATGCTATCTAAGATGGCTCTCAGAGAAACACAAAGGTCGATTATCAGCATTCCCACTGTCTCAAACTATGAATTATATTTTCATACTCCCCAGGACTTTGAGATGACAAATTTCACTGATTTAATAACCCGAATATTTCAAACACAATGCAAAATTTTCCCTACGTCTCATTTCCAGCCAAATATTTCAAAGTGGCAGTTTTTGTTGCAGCCTCTGCAAAATTATCCCGGAAACAAATCCTATATCAATGCCAGGGTGACACCGAGATAACATATGATTAACTGGAAGCTTCTAAGAAACTATTTTTCTTCATAATGTCACTTTTAGTCTGACTGCTGTGGCATATCGTCACCACTTCATGGCTGATCTGGTGTGTGGTGTATGAAAGCCGCAACTGTGGGACATATCAATGTCAGACGTTTCCAAGAGCTCACTCTAGACTGTTTACACACTTCTTTCACTCAAGTGCCCTAACCTACCTCAACCGAGGCCTTCCAGACCTCGAGGGCTTTTCTCTTGAGATGAGAACATCCTCCCATCTTAACTGATCCCTACAAGTACTATGGGCTTGAAATTTTGAAAGCCTGTCATTACACTGAAGTATACACATGGTCTGGCTTGAATTATGCTCCGTTATCAATAGGAAGGCCATTTCTAAATTTACATGCCAATATAACATAACATTTGGAATCGATTTGTATTCTTAAAATGTATCTGGTGAATGTATTTAAGTTAGAAATGTTTTAAACATACCCATACACAATTGAAATATTTGTATGAAAAATGTGTTTGTATCTTTTCAAATTTGACCAAACTTAAAAATACATGATAATTTCAGAACGACACTTTGGGGATGTTTAAAATACCCCTGAGCTTCCTGAGGAAACTTAAATAATCATTACAGCATTGGGAACCTCACATGAAGATTCCACTCCCATGGGGAAACATTAGCCAGCTTTCTGGCTTCTCTGCAGATAACCTATCTCTGACTTTATCATTATCTCACAAAATACCCATGAAATTTGCCTCCCTAATGGCATTAATCTAAAACCAATATGTCAGGAACTTGCCAGCTTTTCACAAGGTGATTTTCGACTCAGGCTTAAACCGACATTGCATAATCACCATGTTTGGGATAATAAATAATGGCTCTGAGATATTTGGATATCTCAATTCATGCTTAGATAACTCTGTTACACTTAAGTTCAATCAGTGGATTGACTTGTGTTTACATTTTGTTCGAAAGTTTTCTTGTTTTTGTATCGTAATCGCCCTTTTCAGCACGTTTGGTACTTGTTAGGTCTTTGTAACTGTGATACAATAACTTTTGATGGCGCTAAATTGACATGGATCCAAACTTGAGGGTTGTCCAACTTAACTTAAAGATAGGGATTAAATCAAGGTCCTTGAGTTTTGTAAACAAGGACAGACTTTGTCACTTGAGGGTCCTTAGGTTGTGTACATGAACCTGATATCTATTCATTGATAAAGGTCTATGTTTCATCTCAAAGGAATGTTCTTGTCAAAAACGTAAATATACCTCTTTACATGTTGTGCAAATGTTTGCGCTTACAGGTCAAACACAATCTCATTTCTCATTCATACAAATTGTACTATCTTAATACTGGACTTAAATCAACTATCTTGACTAAAACTGCAGCTTATTGCAACAATATTTCAAAATGATTCTAAGCTAAATATAATTTCAAGTTTTGAAGTTATATTTTGAGCATCAGAAAAATGTTTGAGAAAAAGCAGTTACCTTGAAATCCATTATGTCATAATAAATACATTTCAAGTGGTTCAATGGCATTTGCCTGGTGAACCAAGATTTTTTATGAAAAAAAGGCAATGTCAGAGACCATACACCAATATGGTCTTTAGAATGGTCTTTAGAGACCATATACATAATGTACCAACATATGGTCTTCAGAGACCATGCACTGATATATGGTTCCTGGCAATGTTGACTGACAAATGTTTCTTGACTGGTTGATGATAGTCACACAGGGAAAAAGGTGCATTATTGCAATGAATGGTTTTGCCGAATTTGCATTGCCTGCATTTTCTTTAGTGAATTCATGATTAAATAAGCAGTAGGTGAAGTTCATATTGTTGAGATATTTATTCATAAGAACTAACTTAAACTATGTTTTCAGTTATGAAGGCGAAATACACACAAACAAAATTGAAGTTAATTCTTAAATATTGACAGTATCGGTGACCTCAGATGAACACTACTAAAATCATAGAATTTGGGTCACTGTTTTCATCAGCTTATGAGTCAGCAAATGCAACTTCATTTCTTAAATATCAACTTATCTGTGCTACTAGACTAATGCTTAGTCTCTGAATATATAAAATTTTGATAGTAACAAACAAGTCCATTTAAATTGAAAAGGAGCCCCAGGAAGACCAGAGATTCAGAACCTGAGGAAATCGCGACTTGCTTTATTTTGGGCTTTAGCACATCAGATAGGGCTTGGCAGTAGGGAAAATAATGTAGTTCAGGGACTGTGAGACAGACTACTGTGCTACCTTCATGTGTCCTTATATTAAAGACAGGATAACCCAGCACTAAACACCAAAATATGTGTAATCATAACCCCACATATGTTTATGATAATTCCATGAAATATGGCAGATTAAATGTCCCTGTGGGTTGTGAGTGACAGGCACTAGAGGGCGCCACTGACAACTACTCTCTACTACCTGCAGTCATGATGTTATCAGTTTAACTGTACTGAGACTTAGCGAGATGTCACCACTCCTAAAATCATCTCCTGTCCTCTCTACTGAAGAGAAAGAGCCTACTTTTCCAAAGCCCATAAAGTGGACAATTTTCCTTTTTGTGAGTGAAATAAGCGTATAATTGGACATTGAAAAGGTGAAAAGGTTCTTTTAGCGGTGATATCTTTTCAGATCATAGTTTATCACAATACTGAATTGTTGCTCCAAATGGTCAACCATCCTATTCAAAATCTTGAAAACAAAATTCCCTTCAAAATTATCCATAATCTACCACTATGTGAACAGTACACATTTATTCAGCCTTCATAAAAGATAGTTTCTTATCAAAGTAAATATTTATACAGTCCCTGTAGGGTGACTGCATGTAAGACACGTTTCATGTCGGTCTTGTCAAGTGCTCACAACTTCAAACCATAATTATAGTGGACATTCCTTTGAAAATTATATGGTTGACAATCAGGCCACTTGTCATCAAGAAATTTCATCAAAAATAGATACATACTTGAACTATATAATTTTTTAGGTCATGAATAAAAAACGCATCAAACAAATTTTTAAACTGCTATTACTTCCTTTTTGTGTCTTATGCCATTTCCTAATTTTTTTCAATTTGTTCCTCGAGCTGACATTTTTTCATGTTTCAAAGAACATGATCACAGAACAAAGGGAGGCAATGTCTGTTTATTGATTTTGTATTTCTGTGAGTTTTCGTGATTTTACAGCATCCCAAACTCTCCCAAACTACACTCAGTTTCAGCCAAACCTAAAACCCAATCTGACCATGTTATCTGTAAACAAGTCCATTATTATGATATTTTCAAAACTTACTGAACTCACCTACAAATTCTCATCATTTACCATTTGAGATCTATTACACTGATTAACAGTCATTAGGGAAATAGTCTTACCTATATCATGTGTAGCACTTCTATTGCTGTTGATGTCTTCATCACTTCCACCACGACCACTGTCACTGGTGCCTGTTTCTCCTGAAGTTTCACTCATAATGTCATCTGGTTTCTTTAATATCTCCATTAAATGACGAGCCTGAAATTCAAAATAAACCCATTAGAACATGAGACTGACATATGTATGTCTTTCAAGTTAACAAAGTGATGAAACTAATCACAATCTTATGGCACAATTTCAACTTCATTTTCTCATGGCAAAATAAAACATCTGTAAATGAGACTAGTTTTCAATATTTGCTTCATCTAATTAGGAGATAAACCTATTTTGATTTGAAATTTCTGGTAGTCTCACAAGATCTTATAATTATCCCATATTATACCTCAATTGTAACATGATGATCAAAAGGCTTTAGCACACTATTCTTTTGTTGTATTGAGAAATGGATAGTTAATTTTGTATTATATACAATTAGATACCTGATTCAAAGAGATTTAAGCATTGTTCAAATAAACAGGTTTCAATCTGCAGCTAATGAATTGTACAGTGCTGTTTTCAGAATACACATAAAGGCTAGCTGATTTGATTTGTTCATGAAAGAACTGGACATATTTCATTCATAAAATCACATGATATTATTATCAACATTACTAACCCACATGAAGAGTACAAGTCAACAAATGACAACATTTTTGTTCATGTTTCTTTCTATGTTTCTGACATCATATTAAGATAGTTTCACCAAAACTGTTCTGAATTAAATAGTTTCATAACAAATGTACTGAATTGAGTTTCATTGTTTTACTATCTTAGATCTAACCAGTATTGGAGAAAGACAAAAAACAACTTTTCAGCATTTCATTATCAGCAAAAACAATTGAGTCCATATGCCTCACAAAACATAAATAATAAAACAAACATTACACATCTAAATAACACAAAATGACGTCAAACAATTTGTGATAATATGTCCGAAAAACAATTAAGCCTAATACATAACTGTTACATCGAGAAGAATTGATTGTTCTGTACCACTGACTTTACCTCAGATTCATTCATATTTTGTATCCATGTTTTATCGGTGGGGTGTGGCGTCACCGGGATATTGTTTTGTACTGGAATGTTAGAAGGTTCATGTGCACCCGGGCTGTTCATGTTGTTTTGTTTCTCAACCAGTGAAGGAATGGGGGTCATCATGAGATTCACCTCCTGAGAATTCTGGTAAAACGCAACCAAGAATGTACGTAAATATACAGAGCGCCATCTAGCAGACTGAGAAAATGTGAAAAGAACAATGTTATACTTTCAATAGAAAGTGAAAAATTAATTCAGTGTGCTCACAAGTCTATCAGCATAATTGTAATCTTTTCAGCAAAAACATTTGATTTGAATTTTTTTTTCAATCATCTGAATTTTGTAAAAGCATTGATTGCTTTAAAAAGAAGTGCGTAGATTAAACTTTCCTGAAACTTTGATGACTGTGGTTTATAAACTAATCAATGTCATGCAAGATGTCTTCTCTTTTGAAGACAAAATATTCTTTTGAAAGAAAGTAAAAGTTGTTTCTTCAGTGTTTTAAAATTTTAACTCAATACTTTAAAATTAAGTTCTTCTTGTTCAAATAAACAGCCATGGTTTCAATCTGCAGCTAATCAATTGTACAGTGCTGTTTTCGGAATACACATAAAGGTCAGCTGATTCAATTTGTTCAACTGAATTACTCTGAACAGGTTCCACAGAATTACCTTCAAATTAAACAAAAAATTTACATCTAACTTATATGTATGACAAGCCTGACTCCTAGCTGTTTCTCAAAAGTGTTTCTTGGGATTAAAAAGTTGAAATTTAAAAAAAGGCAGTCAATAGAATAGCAACAATTTCTTAATTGAAATACTCTTGTTGTCTGTTACGACACATTGTCACAATGGTCAATACTCTGAATGCTTATTTGTAATTATGTTTTAAAACTTAAATCTTACAGTGGCAGTGTGTCAATTAAAACTAAATTATTTGAAATGGACACAATCTGCAAAATTTGATACTGACTGTTAAAAAAACAATCAACAGGTTTGTAAAAACACAAATCCCATAGGATCTTGACTGTGTTGAAGAGTGGCGCTGGGAGCACTAGACTCAGGTGTTAGCAGAGACTAATTGTAAAATTACAGACAAATCGATGTTACAACTAATTATACCTACCGATTGGGAATGTTCTGTCGGTGCCGGAACTCCAAACGTTGACATCGACGCATGGCCAGAAGAATTGCTCATGTTGTGTATATCTCGATCATCTTCAAACGTAAAACTAACTTCCTTTTTATTCCGTTTTAACTTTGTATCATCATTTTCATTTGAGTCTTTGGCTATGACTAAAAAACTGTCTCTGTTTGAAATTGCTGTTAATGTTTTGTCCTCGTCTGTTTTAATCATAGCTGATCTTCTTTGCTGGCGCTCTCTGTCAATTCTGCGAATCATGCATATCGTTGCAAATATCGCAATTGCTAATATAACTGTCACTGCTATCAATATAATCACAATCATCATATTCTTTTCAAGCACTTCTGAATGCCCTTCATTCCTAGCCGTGCCGTTAACATCGACAACAAAAATGTCCAAGGTCGCAGTTGCCGATTTTGAATTCGTTCCACGGTCATTAACAGCAACTTTTAGTCCATGAAATCCTAAATCTGACGATTTCATCACACGAGAAACTGCCAATTCACCATTCATTCGGTTTATATTAAACAAACTTCCTTTGTTACCAGATATGATTGAAAAAGTTAATCTGATGAACTGGATGTCAATGTCATCTGTGTCTTTAGCAGTTACTTTAGTGACAATAGTTCCAACCTTAGTTCCATAAGGAATACGCACGGTCTTGTTGGATTTGGTCGGGTAGGTGATGATAGGGATGTTGTCATTATCATCTCGGACATGAATTGTAACATGAGCTGTATCATGAAAACTGGTTATCATTGGATCTTGTACAATCACAGTGAAGTTATACTTTTTCTGAGTTTCCCGATCAAATGAACGCTTGCTTGTGATTCTTCCAGTATTTTCGTCAATAGCAAACCACTTATTCACCTCCGAGTTTGGCCCAAATGCAAACTTCATGTTTGGTTTTTCATCCTCATCCGTGGCAGTCAGATTCAGAACTGGTGTTCTGATTGGTTGATTTTCCAGAATATATCCTCGGAAAACAGGCACAGTGAATCTGGGTGGCTTGTCATTCTGATCCAGAATCCGGATAAGGACTTTGGCAGTTGATGATTTTGGTGGGGAACCATGATCCGTGGCTATCACACCAAACTCATACTTTGACACAGTTTCTCTGTCGTATGGTGCTGTTGCAAGCAAAGAACCAGTCCCGGGGTTAATGGTAAACAATGATCCTGCATCACTATCTAAAGAATATGTCACTCTACCGTTCTCCTTGCTGTCCCAGTCTTTAGCAGTTATTTGCAGAATCTCCATACCAATCTTGTTATTTTCCACAATTTGCCCAATAATTGGCACATTATTAAACTTTGGTGCATTGTCATTCTCATCAAGAACCTTAACTAGGAAGCTTGTTGAGTTTGTCTGAGGGTTATCTCCCTTGTCTTTGCAGGTGATGGTAACATTATGTGTTGGGGAGCTTTCATGGTCCAGTTTCTCTTTCAGGCTTATCTTGTACACGTTGTTCACATTTGCATTGAACTTATCAAGGGAAAAGTGGGCATCATTCATATCACAAGTAAAATCTCCATTTTTACCATCATCTCTGTCAGTAACAGACACATGAGCTATAAACCTGCCTGTTTCTGCTCCTTCTGAGATATCAGATCCTTCTGGGGACAAGTTAATGTTTATTTCTGGTTTGTTATCATTTTTATCAATAACATTAATAACAACAGGTACTAACGAGGACCGAGATGGCGATCCTTTATCCCTGGCCTCAACCATGAACTGGAATTGCTTATTCTCTTCATAATCAATATCGCCTATAGTGTACACCTTACCGGATGTGGGGTCAATAGCAAGGGCCTTACGAACTTTGTCAGAGGCTCGTGAACTCAAATGATATGAAATTTCGCCATTTGCTCCTTTGTCCTGGTCAACTGCAGATAATTGAAGAATTGTGGCATTGACTGTGCCATTTTCGATGACGGTCACGTTATATGATGACTCTATAAATGCAGGGCTGTTGTCGTTGACGTCGGTGACGGTAATATTAATCAACACAGATCCAGTCCGCTGAGGGTAGCCTCCATCTTTAGCTACAATGGTCACTTGAAAGAAGTCTTTGGTCTCACGGTCTAGACTATGTTTGACGACAATCCCGAGATCAGACGTTCCAAAATTGTGTTGTACCTTGAGATCAAACATCCCATTTACAGGAATAATTTCATAGCTCTTAATTGAATTATTGGCTCCAGTATCCTTATCAATGGCACCACTTGCCAATAACATATGATTAACCGGAACCGATTCTGGTAAGCTGAGACTGACAGAACCCTGGGGAAATTCAGGTTTGTTGTCATTAATGTCCACTAAATCAACCTTGGCCTGCATCAGTTTATAGAGGTCATACCTATTTTTTGACACGTCTCGGATATACACAGCAATGTCTAGGTTCAAAATACACTCCGGCTTGCCCTCGCAGACATCAGGTGATTCCCGGTCGATTACTTGTGCCGTCCGAATTGTACTGCTCTTTTCGTCAATTTCAAAAAGTCGGGAAGATGGGTTCCCTTGAGAGAAGAAGTTGAATTTTAGCCTCTGAAATACACTCTCTGTAACATTGCCATACAAATAACTGTCTCGGGCCACATTACCGACAAAGGTATTTGCTGATTGCTCCTCTTTCAGTCTGTAGGACAGCACTACCTCTTGAGCTGGGCACAAGACAGGAAGTAGAACAGCTAGTGGAATAAGTGTTGCCATGGAAACCATCTTGTTGCTTGGTGCTTTAACTTCAGGTAAATATCTTCAAAAGTAATGTGGAAAAGTTGTCAAGAATGCTGCAAGTTGTTGATCATTATGTCTGTCGCTTTCATTCAAATTCAGTCAGTCACACTGTGGTTATCTACAAATGTTGAATCTGAAAACAAATGAAAACTGAATTATAATCAAGAACAGCATGTAAAAAGTTTTCTGAAGTAATAACTGAAAGAGGGCAGAAAATTATTATATGTACATGTATAACGTCAAATGTCCAGAATAGAAAGAGATTACTATTACAGACAAACACAGATACAAACACGCTTGAACATGGATAAAAAATTATATCAGACAATGGAAAACATTTTCAGTGTAAACCAATTTCCTTCTCCCATCAGAACCAAGGCCTAGATACAGCATCCCCCCATGATCAAATAATTTGGTCAGACAAAATCTCAAACTTGATCAAGCTGGCAAAAAGGACGAATAAATACAATTACACACACATAAATGAATAAAAAGTGTATAAATCAATCCCAGCTGACAAAAAACTCCTCATGCAGTACAGCAATTTAAGTCTTACACGCCAAATGAATCGCAGCATTGAAATATATTGCAATAACTCCAGCAAGTTCTGCCAAATCGTCCCAGGGATGTAGAGAGAAGCCTTCACAAATGCCCCCACACCATGAATGATGCAGCCCACGGTCCTACCCCAATATTTACAGCTGAGATTTAAAGCACTCAAGCCTGTCGTTACGCCTCTAACAGTCTCGGCTGCCGATAGGGAACTGGTGTTAGATTGGCCTAACGCAATAAACGGGCTCTGCCATTATTGCTCTCTTATTGTTGTTCAAACTTGGGGTTCAGAGACAATGCATTATATAGTGACCACTTCAAGTATGTTTTCTTAACAAACAGCTCGTGTAAGAGGGGCATTTAGTACTGTCATAACAATTAATAGCTCTTTCAGAGAAAGTGAGAAGTGTTCAAGACCTAATCTGCCCTGACTGGTAAACCGTGCCCTTGTTGTTTTAACAGTTTAGCTACCTGTAACGACATCAAAGTGATGAGAAAATGGCTTCTGTCACCTGACTTGCTGTCCAGGTTGAATGATACTTCATGATGGCTTTGACAATTAATTAGCAAGTAGACTACCTGTTAAGTGGTGAGAATGACATTGCTAATTGATGAAGTAATATTATCAGAGACGAATGGAGTAATCATTCTCAGCTACAATGTTACACATTCTTAACCCATGATCCAGTGTGCTTTTGAAATAAACAATACTAGGTTCCTTTCTTGTACATTGTTTACCTGTAATGATATAATCACTCATAACAGCTAAACTGTTAAATTACATTTTGACAGACATTCATAATAACACATAACATTGAAAATATGGTTTTCATTACATATGTAACAATTTCAATATTTTGGGGATAAGTACATATTTCTGTCTAGTCTATTTATAGATCAACTGCTTTATTTTTGTATCAGAACCCAACTCACCTGTCCAATTGCAATTAAGTTTCAAATTGTGTCATTCATGTTGAGTAGTGTTTTCTTTAACTAGTACCTAATTAGGTTTGAGACAATGGTATGACAAACGTTGTCACACCTCAAGTCATCAGTCTGTCCTAATTAGAGTAATTAGAACATCATTAACACCTGCCTATCACACCTTGACCTAATTAGAGTCAGCAAACTGTTGTAATAGCACTCAGTTAGAATGTGATTTTAAGTGTCTGCTTTTACATGCTTTGGACTCTCATGTCAAAATACATCGGTCGGCACAAGACAATGGTTGCAAAGGTCACTGTATTGATTTTCCATCACTTTGAATTTCACTTACAGTAATGAAATTGAAATTCCCAGGCTAACTTCCTTGATCCCTAACAAAGTCCAGTTGAAAAAGCATACATTGGTTAAATTCCTTTTTGAGAGGAATTTCTTTGCCGCTAGGGAAAAGAATCCAGAACCTACACAAACAACAAGGTGAGTTGAAATGTATGCTTTCTTTTGGGTTTTTAACCAAACAATACAAATATATTTCCTATGAAGAATATATGTAACTAAATAAAATTATTGTTATTTGTGGTAAATAGTGTTTCAATATTTTCTCATACCTCTCATCCCAGAACATGTGCAAAGTTTCAAGCACAAACTGTTCCATCCGTAGTACTGTCCATGAAAAGAATGGATTTGCACAGAAAAAATAACCACAACAAAATCTATCAACCATGTGATGTGAGTGTTAACAGTAGTCCTTGTACACAAGATGTGTCTACTCTGATGCCCATCAGTCCTTTAAATCTCCTAAATTGTGGCCACAAAATAATGGACAATTTGTTGTATGGTTTTCTATGTGTGACCAAGTTCAAAAGCCCATAGGGGTCAGATAAGCTTTACTCCCGAGATAATCTGTCACCCCCCTTACAGTTCAGAGGTTGCGAAAATATCTGGCCATCGACAAATGTTCAAGATGTCCTCACAGTGAAAGGTTCAACTTGAGTGGGTGGAGCAGACGGTCACCACAAAGACAGCCTGGTGGTCAACACCACAGGGGGCTAAGGGAGGCGACTCCATACACAATACCTGCTCCTTGAGTAGACATTATACCTACATCTTTACAAGGCCCTCTTAAAAAGGCCGATGAATCTTATCGAAGCTCAGTGTCGTAAGACGTGTTAAAGATATGAATAGTGGACAGACGAGAAGGCTTAGCTGGCAGCAATTATCGAGACTTAATGATCGCTGAACCAGTTACAAGCATGATATGGAAACAAATTTGGAGGTATAATACCTCAGTTGAGCTGGTAGTATCTGTAGAATCTGGAAGAATTAGCTGAACAGATTAGACAAAGCCGTCTGTCAGGTGGGTGGGGGGTTAGGGTGGGGGGAAGAAGAGACTGAGACCAGTAATATACCACTTTTACAAACTCACAATCGTGTCTGGTTGACTAGGAGTGGAGGAATTTCTTTGACAAGATTCAATAACTTTTGTTAACCCAGTATATAGGAGGTGGTATCCCGCCCATATCACAAACCAGGGCTATTTTAGAATGGAGCCATGCAGTAAGTGTCTGGTTTGAAACTTACCACATGTCTCAAGACACACAGATGAATTTGTATGATAATACTCTTGGCATGATTTTGAAGACGCCAAGAGGACAACCAAACTGGTAATAACAGCCCTTCGAACATGAATTATTTAGAAGAGAAATTGTCCCTGCTTGTACACACGTCTGTAAACTTTCCGTGATAAACAGTGATAGACTCACACACTGAGCCTTCTCTGATGCAATTTAAAGCAATTTTCATCAATTACTCTACATGAGGACACACTGTGTCAAGACTAATCTGACAGGTAGATTGTTGACTTTTGTGAAACCGATTACAATCTTTCACCTACTTCCACTCATAAACTTTCTTAAGTCAGTGCAATCACACCAACATAAACATTTTCCGCTTCATGAACACAAAAATTACGATTCCCGACTCACACACTTGTAAAAGGAGACCTTCACTCCTTGAAAACCAACACTAAGAAAAAGCCCTGCCAATCCTTCTTGATTTGAGCAGGGATATAATTTTCAATAACAATTCTCTCAAGCCCCTATTCTTACACATCCCAGCTTGACTTGTCTCTTTAATGACAAAGGAGGAATTTGTGAAGCCCTAAATCAAGCTAAATTGTCCAGTGTGAAACCAAGATTCTTTGCACTGGTCACCTTTGTTTGAAATTCTATAGTGAGCATGAAATGACACCCCTTACCTACAGATACCATTACCCTCGCATACCATCAGATTCTCAAAGCAACACTCATCAAATATTTTACAATTGTATATCGCACAAGAAGGTCAGTCTTCAAGTTTCAATTCTTCTCGTACTCTTCAAGAGAATGACAATATATAATGTACCATGATTATTTAACAAAACCTTTTCAAACATTGACAAGAAAAGTTATTACACATTTATCTTTTCCCGAAAGATTTAAAGAAATATGACAATGCGGCAACTCTTGAGAACATCGAACCATCCTATGATTTTTTAAACAGCAAGAGTCAAAGTACGGGAGATAGAATTATCACTGACTGATCGTTTCAAATAGCTTGTAAAAGATCCCAATTAAATATACATGTAAAACAAGAATAAGTCAAACTGAAGAAATGTTATACCTGACAATTTCATAGATTTTCTCTGAAATTTGACACAAACTTGTTGGATCCACGATCTCCAGACTTATCAATAATAAACAGAGGATTGTGGGTATGAATACTTAACGTGAACACTCAAGCCGTGATTTCTACTGCTGGCTAAAGATCATGAGACCCTGTATAACGTGTTCTTGCAATTCCATAGTGAAGGGTGTAGTGATTACATTACACAGAAACTCATATCAAATTCTTTTATGATTATTACTTACAAATCACTTGCTCTGCACGAAATTACTGTGATCAGATAAAACTAAGTAACTCAATTTTCCATGATTGCCAGATAATTATACTTTCAAGAAAATTATCGTATTTAGAAGTTGTTTGGGTCATTTTATTCAGTGATAATAATATATTGTTATGAACAGAGTGTATACATATGTTTTTATTAAAAATTACTTTGGAAAGTGGTGTGACAAAACATTTTGTTTAGTATATGTGACAAACTGTACAATTTCGCGAAAGCAAAAGGAACGCAATAAAACATTTTTCAACACTCCTTATGATTGGACAGACAACTAGATACAATTCGGTCAAGCATCGTTTTTAACTAACCGTTGATTTAATGTGCCACTGATTTTGTCCTGCAATGACAATAAACAGAAATATAATACATGTGATGCGAACATGTTATTTTTGTCATGATTTATGAGTTACAAGTTATGAGGTCACGATCAAACATATCGAAAATCAAACATCGTGTTCATGTGAATCATTAACAAACATCTTTCCTGACATAAACGATAAATGCATTGAATCGATTTGCGTATTTCAGAATGGCATGAAAAAAACCCTTCAAACAACGAAACGTGACACTTTAAACAGTTTAGCATTGATTTTTCTAAATTTCATCATTTATAGTATAAGGGAAATAAAAAGAAAGTTTAATGTTATTAAAAGCATGAAAATATTTAATTCCAGTACACATTTTTCAGCCTGTTT